GTCAATAATGTCCTTTTTATTTTTTTTTCTTTTTTTTTTTCTTTTTTTCCGGTATTGTAGGGCAGGATGGCTTCGGTCGAAAGGGAGACACTGTCCCAAGATGAACTCCGGAAAAGGCTCTATCAGACTTTTAAGAACCGAGGTGTCCTGGACACACTTAAGGTGTGTTTTATTTTCAGCAGGTGCTACCCGTGATTCGCTGTGCTACTTAACATTGGAAGCAGTGAAAGTCATGCCGAATAAAGGTGTTTCCCACTCTCCCCAGCTGTATTATTTTTGCCACAGCCTGATCCGTATTCAGCTTTTATTTGCCAGAAACGAGGTTCTTCCTAAACTGAAGTGTTTTTCATTGTGGATTAGTTTCAGAGTCTTCTTCAGGAAGGTTAAAGGCTTGTATCGGGTCTTTGAAAATTTCCATACTTGAGAAAAAAGTCGAGCAGAGAAGAGAGGAATACATGAGAATACAGGTTTGGAAAGGACCTCTTAGGTGGCAGAGTCAATTTGTTACCTATTATAAGTAGACATGCTATGTGAATTCTCCTCCTGGAATATTCCAGTTCTGTTTTAAAACTATTTGAGCTGTTTTGTCCTCGTCTGCTCACTGAGGAGAATGTCTTAGAATATGGTTGTGTTCAAGCGTGAAACATTGTTCTGATTTGTAGTCTGGGTTTATTTATGGTTGCTCTGGCCTTTTTTCTTGTGCTGGAAGTATCCTTCAGTTTAAGTAGCTCTTGCTTCTTTTGATGAATTTATAGGCAGCAGTCATACCTTTTCTTCAGCATTCTGTTCTACAATGCTAAGCAAGTCAAGGTGCAGTAATCTCATTGCTGGTTATCCCAGCAGTCCTCTGCATCACTTTGAAGTCTTTCCCCCTTTTTTTAAAGGAAGTAGATCATGATTGTTGTGAGCTTTCCAGACAAAGTTTAGAATGGTATTAATTCTTCGCTATTTTTGTGGGGGAAGTCTCTGGAAGGCTGCATATATCTCTTTTTGAGGCATGTTACATTTGTAGTGCTAGTCACTGTTTGATTGACACATCCGCATCTTGCTTTTTCCAAATGCTAAATCCCTTGTGTTGTAGCAGAAATTCGTGTCAGGCCTTAAATGCTGAAATGTTGTATTGCATGCAGTTTCAGTTTTGCTAGTCTTTAAACATCATCTGATTGTATTTTTTTATGACATCTTGATCTTTGTGTGCTTCTATACACATCTTTATGTCACCAGCATATTTTTTTAGCTCCTGCTTTTTATGTCAAATTCATTACAGTTAAAAAAAAAAAAATCAACATCCATATTTTAAGAATGCCACTGATAACCTTATGGCCAAGAATTCCCTCTTCAGGACAACTTGTTTCTCCCTTAGTGACTTCCATACCAAGCTTGCCATGCTTGAACCATTTCTTGCCTTGTTTGACTTAAACTAATAGTCTGTCAGGTGGCATGCTATTTAATTCCATTTTCCTGCTTCTCTTTTCCTTGTCTGGAAGATTATACATCTTATTAAAGATTTTGTAGCTTTTCTGAGCTGAAGAATTAATACAGTTGGGTTTTTAATGGATTCCTGCAAATAGTTACATCTTCCAATGAGAATACTCTCAGCTTTCTCGTGGTCTTATCTGACTGCCTCTGCTGTTAAGAGGCAGGGTGGATCTGGAGCTACAGCTATGCTGAATGGCCAACATATAACAACCGGTTTCTGCCTTCCTTTCCCATAGTAGGGACAGGGATTTAGCCCTGTGTTTTCCACCTGCACTTTGTCACGAGATGTATAAGAGGTTGCTGGTCTTGGTTGTTTTTGAGACAACCTCATCTCTGTCAAAGTTGGTTGAAACTGGACAAGTTCAGAAATTAATACGGAAAACAATTTTTTTCATTTGTCTTCATTACTCTCTATTGTCTAATTTCTGTAGAAAGCCATGCTAAAATATCAGGCTAGTTGATGATCTAGCTTTGTTAAGTTTTGGTAAGCATTTAGTATTTCGTCCCATTCTTGGTAACACAGTTTCTTTAATAACTTTGTCACTGTTGCATGCCTGCTGTTGAAAGCTTAAAACACTATTTCTGTCGTGATCTTTTAGTACGCTATAAACAATTTGTATAATTATATAATGAAAATTGTTATTTCTTCCTTTTACAGGAAGGAGGCTTTCTGGTTTTAGGTTACTTTTTTCCTCTATTGTAACTCATAGAATGCAAATAAATAATAAAAAATGCAATTTAATTATTATTAGTGCCTGTAGGCTTTTTTGATTACTACCGTTTTGCTTCCCTACAAAATAATTGATGTTAAAGACATTGAATTTCCTGTTTATTTTCCCATCTGCTTTTGTGATTGCATTGGCAGCTTCTTGATATGAGACTCCGAAGAGGACTAGTGAGTTTTCCAAGTACACCTGAGACTGAGGCCGCATCAGGCAGGCTTTATTTAAGCCAGAGAGGAGGAGAACAGGAAAGCAGTGATCTAAAAATGAAGCTGGGGGTACTGGGGTGCAGTTTATGTGAGTTCTTGACTGAGAACAATACTTCTTTTCAGTCCTACATTTGATACATCTTGAGGGAAAGTCAAAGATCACTGTAGCCACTGTTAGAGTGTTTTGAAGAAAGGCACGGTGTCCCAAGCGCTCTTCTAAATTTTGCCAAAGTTAGTCTGCCCATTTCTGTTATGTAGGTTGTAATATAACGTGTACAAGTAAAATGAGACTCCCTGTGAATTTTGAAAAATAAAAACTGTCATTGAATAACGTGTAAACTGAGAATATAATGTCTTTTCTGTGTCAGACACAGCTCCGAAACCAGCTAATCCATGAACTAATGCACCCAATTTTAAATGGAGAACTTCAGCCGCAGGCTGTTCCAAATGATGACAGTTCACTTTTGATCACAGCTTCCAACAGTTTGGTGGCAGATCATCTACAGAGATGTGGCTATGAGTATTCACTTTCTGTTTTCTTTCCAGAAAGTGGATTAGAGAAGAAGAAGGTAAGTTCAGTAATTTACCTGTTTGAAGACTTCTAGGAGCTTTGCTTTCTGGGGCGTGTTACATTCCAACAGAATTGAAAAAATCCCCTTTAGTGAAATACAAGTACAGTTTCTGATCATCTCCATAAAAGACTTCTCATATTCAAGGCCATTTTCATGAATACTTTAAACTGGCAATAAGCTAATGATGCTGTTCTAGGAAGACATAGCACAAGCCTCTTAACCTCGTACTTGCTTCACCCACAGCCGCAGTCTGGCCTGACGATTTGTGAGGCTGTGTGGCAGACCGCTTGGGGAAGTGATCCTGATTAAAACTAGCCTCTTGTTTGGCCAGTCAATTCCCTGGAAGTGTGGTTCATGGTCAGTTTACGCTGTTCTAACTACAAACTGTAGCTGGAAAGGGCAGTCCTTGCCCTCTCTTTGTTTCTCCTCTATGAGTATGTGATAGGGTGAAGTTGTTTCTAACTGAAAATTAATTTTTTTGACTTGGTGAGTAGTTAGTTGTCATTTGGGTTAATGAGCTCATCTGATTTGTATGATAAATCAAGAAAAGAGGCAAGGAAAGTAGCAAGAGCATGTATGCAGGATGGGGAGGAATCAAAATTATCTCTTTTCACAGCTTCAGTTGGTCATAAAACTACACACTGGCTGCCATGTATCTTAGGTAATGGAGATAAGTAAATAAGGCCTAGAACAGTAGGCCTCTGAAAATGGTTTTACAAGGCAATAAACAGATCTTTCTTGAATGGAAAACATTCTACAACTGTAAAACAGTGCCTATTACGTATTTAAAATGTCTTTAAAGTAGTTAACCTAATTTACCTTTTTTTTCCCCCCAAAGCTGTGGACTATGCAAGATCTTCTTCAATTAATGAGGATCAATCCAAAATCCAGTCTTTACAAATCACTGGTAAAGTTATTTTGGTTTTGAAAATAAGCTTAAATTACAGTTGTGATGAAATAGACTGGCTAAAAC